CGCTTTGCGCGCGGGGAGGGGGGGGGGGACTCCCCCTCCCTGCACCCAACCCCCTAGGAACCGCGCTTCGCGTGCTCACTACCGCTCCCCTAAAATTAAATCCTGGCTACGCGCTTGGGAGGGGTGCAACTTGCCACACGCTTCTACCACTTTGGTTGCTTTGATCCATTGCCGAAAATATTTTGGCACCTATCATCCCCCCCAACCACGGATACAAATCGACACCCTTGTTTGCTATCATCTCATAATTACTTTCGCTAAAATACGCGCTTGATTTTGCGCTTTGCGATTTCTAACCAATGAACTGAAGCAGAAAAAAGGCGGGGTCTACAATTCAAGCATTTTCACTATTTTAGCAACGTTTAAACCATGTTTTCTTCAATACGCTGTTTACTGAATATGTTTCATGCATCTTCAGATATGAATCACTACACGAAGTCAGATCTTCATGTATGCACGCCGTGGGTCAGTGAAAGCCTTTTAAAAGATGGGGGTCAGATGAGTTTAGCGACAGAATACTAACGGGATTATTTTTGTGTCCTTAGTGGAAACTATTAGAAATGTTTGACAGAATGAAAGGTCACCCTATCTCCCTACCAGTGGCGTACGCAGGATTTTTTCAAGGGGGGGGGAGTTAACATTTTGAAATCGGGCCGGAAATTTCGCAACGACTCAGCCAGCCGCTGAATAAGCGGGGGGGGGGGGGGAGGGGGTAAGAGGACATTTTTAAATCGCAATGACTCAACCAGCTGCTGAATAAGCGCAGGGGGGGGGGGGGGGGGGGTAAGAGGACACCTTTTTTTTGGGGGGGGGGGGTCTAAAAAAAATCGTAACGACTCAGCCAGCTGCTGAATAAGCGGAGGGGGGGGGGGGGTAAGAGAACATTTTTTTTTTTGGTCTCGAAATTTGAAAATTTGACATTTTTCTTCGTTGGGGGGGGGGGTAAGGTCACCTTTTTTAGGTCAGCCATGGGAGGGGGGTTTTCCTAAAAAATACACTCATAAAAATACCAAAGGGGGGGTTCAACCCCCCCCCCCCCCCCCACCCCTGCGTACGCGCAATGAAAGATGCTACCGGTGAGATAGGTGTCCTCTACATAATCATTCAACAGCTTGGAGAGTAGGTGTTTCAGCAGTGGTATCAAATTTTTTTATTGTACATGCATTCTGTTTGTATACGTTGATTTGCCGAATAAAATATAATCATAATGAAATCAAAACTCCTCGAGAAGATCAAATTATTATTTTCACTAGCTCGGTCCAAAGCATGTTTATGAGCGGACGAAGTTTCGTATCAACCCTTAATATCTATCATATACATCATCTAAATTTCAAATATTATGCCAAGACGACACAGTCGTTCAGAAAGAGATAATATTTACGTCGCTGATTAGATGGTGCCACATGAAAAGGATGAGAAAGCGGGCAAACAAAATTACTTTGTAAAATCTCGGAGCCTGTTCCCCGTCATATCTTCCCAAACCGGTGATCATGTTTGAGCAAACACTAAGACATCTTATTTCTGACAAAGTTATTTAGGAAGTGTATTATGCAGTTTCTCTTGTTATGGCCCCGAAATATGGAACACCCTCCCTTCTTCTGTCAGCACTCCCACTTTCAATAATATTGATTGACTCTTTTAAGAAGAATTGAAAGACACACCTCTGCAATGGCCGAATGATTATGCAGGAAAACGATTCTGTTTTTTATTTCTTTTCTATTTGAACATTTTTAATTAGCATCAATTTGTCATCTTTGCGCATTGAGCAATATTTATTGGAATTTTCACTATATAAAAAGCAATTGTATTTATGACTTGAATGTAATAATAAATCGGACCGACTTGGAGTTTAGTTTTAGAGGGCTTGAACTTGACGGCTAGTATGGTTGGGCTTTAATAAAATCCAATTTTATTGGCTAAGATCATGGGTGTCGATCCCGGGGGGATGGGGGGGATATATCCCCCCAATATTTCAGGTGGGGGGGGGTGGCCTGTACAATCATCCCCCCCCCCAATAATTCACCATCAAAAACAATTTAAAAATGAAGAGAAAAATTAATGATGAGAGTCCGATGAGAGTAATTATTACTCGCAAGATGACCATCAATAAACACATTTTGCTATCTCATTTTCATAATACATACATATATACGAAGTAAATAAGACAACCGTATATGAGACAAGAATAAATTGAATTCTCGCTCATACGGCTTCATCAGGAATTGATGAATTTATTCAATTTGTTCAATCAACAGCATCATAGAAATGCAGTGCGCCAAATGCAAAGACGCAGCATCAAAAGCAACGAGCTAAATGTTAAGCGCGAAGCACAAAAGTAGCAATCTGCAATGCACATCAGACAATCCTGGACAGTGTAAACATAGATGAACTCTGTGACGATTTCGTGATGAGATCGGAGACAAGGAGAAAGATTTTCGGACATTAGTATGACATATAAAATAGTTCACTAGTTGTAATGTTGTTTCCGTTCACCCTTTTTAAAATTCACGTCATTGTATCTTTATTTTTATTTTTTTCACTCATTTTATTTCCTGATAATTCCTAGAAAGATTATCATGTCACAACTTATTTGTGACACAACTTATTTTCAGTGGGGAAACTGAATTCAGACAAGGATTAATACAGAGAACAGTACAACGAATCGTCTTCTTTCTCTAATAATTTAGCGAACAGGGCAAAGCTGTTAGGGGGGCAACTGAATTCAGACGTGGATTTAGAGTAATAATCAAATGAAACGTCAAAGTACACGATACAACTAATCGTCTTCTTTTACTAATAATTTAATGAAACGTGAAAGCTTCCGCGCTACGCACGGAATGGGCGAAAATGAATACAGACAAGGATTAAGAGTAATAATTTATTGAAACATTAAAGCTTCCTGAATTCATGAAGGACACGATACAACAAATCATCTTCTTTCTCTAATGATGTAATAAAATGTGAAAGCTTCCGCGCTTCGCGCAGGAATGGGCAAAAATGAATTCAGACAAGGATTAAGAGTCGAGAATGGTACATAGAACCGTCTTCTTTCTTTAATAATATAATGAAACGTCAGAGCTTCCGCGCTACGCGCGGGGAAAGGGGAACTTGTTTCAAACAAGGATTAAGAGTCGAGAATGGTACCTCGAATCGTCTTCTTTCTTTAATAATGTAATGAAACGTCAGAGCTTCCGCGCTACGCGCGGGGGGAAGGGGAACTTGATTCAAACAAGGAATAAGAGTCGAGAATGGTACATAGAATCGTCTTCTTTCTTTAATAATGTAATGAAACGTCAGAGCTTCCGCGCTATGCGCGGAGGAAGGGGAACTTGATTCAAACAAGGATTAAGAGTCGAGAATGGTACATCGAATCGTCTTCTTTCTTTAATAATCTAATGAAACGTCAGAGCTACCGCGCTACGCGCGGAGGAAGGGGAACTTGATTCAAACAAGGATTAAGAGTCGAGAACGGTCCAACGAATCGTCTTCTTTCTCTAATAATTTAGTGAAACGTCAAAGCTTCCGCGCTTTGCGCGGGGGGAGGGGGGAGACTCCCCCTCCCTGCACCCAACCCCCTAGGAACCGCGCTTCGCGTGCTCACTACCGCCCCCCTAAAATTTAATCCTGGCTACGCGCTTGGGAGGGGTGCAACTTGCCACACGCTTTTACCACTTTGGTTGCTTTGATCCATTGCCGAAAATATTTTGGCACCTATCATCCCCCCCAACCACGGATACAAATCGACACCCTTGGCTAAGATGGACTAAGTCTTAACTGGCCTATGACCGTTATATCAGTACTCAACATTCAATAGGGCTACACACCAGACCAGCTGGTAAACCTCTTTGGGTAAACCTTTAAACATCAAGTTGAGGTATCCCTAAAACAACGTACACACGCTTTATCATCTCCGTAATACTTGACAAGAGTGGTGTGATTGATTGATTGATTTATTCATTTCATATAACAATTATTTGTACAATAAAGAATATAGTTGACAAAGTAAGATCAAAATGAAAGATCGAAATGAAACAGGAACCTACTGGAAAGCATAGCTTGTGATCAAGGCATCATCAAGCGACCCGTTTACGAACGAAGTTTGCAACCCAGTCGCTTCTTTCGGATGATGACATTTAAAGTCTATCTGTCTGCATAAGACCCGAAATTCGAATTGGCCGCCCGCGTGTCACGGGTCGATCCTGATGGCCATGATGGCACCATTCGTATTGCATTCCTCAGAACCAGGACATCCCCGTAGACAACCCACGAGATCTGCAATGTCGGACGACCCGTAAACCCTCAGAAAAGTTGTCGGAAGGCCAGCGAGTCCGATATGTCGGTCTCATGGGATGGTTGGTCTCGTGGGCCGTTGGTACTCGTGAACTCTCGAACAAATGCGTAGAAGGTCCACCAGACTGACCTTGCATGTCAGCCTCGGGGACCGCACGTAGCCCCTAAGAACGTCTGTTTCCCTGGCCAGGCACGTTTCATCCATGCAGACGTAGCCTTACATTCTCTTCGGAATCGCACATTAACAAAGCTGTAGACGATAGGATTAATGGCGTGATTCACATTCAGGGCAAGAGTTAGCAAATAGACGATCGTAAAACCAGCTTTATTTTGAAAGAGGGCCATTATTAACCAAGTTGGAAAGCACTGAAACACCATGAGCGGAACCCAGGTCACGAAGTAGATGACGGTTATGAGAAATATCATCTTGGAGATTTTGTTGTTTGCTTTAATTCGCTCTCGGTATTTGTTAATGTGAGTATTTGCTGCCACCAAAAATGGGGGATGAAAAGGGACTCGATCACGGGTCGATCGGTATATTGTGCTTATCACTTGCTCAGGTATAGGACTGATTGGGCTACTTTGCGTATCAGATGAAAGTTTTTCTTTGTTTCGATCACCCGATAACATGAAGGAGTGCGTTGTGTTTGATGTCATAGTTTTAACGGTACGGTGTGGTTGCTCATGACTAGACGTCGATGCATCCTCATTCATCCCACCTGGTTGTCCAGATGCATGAGGATCACTGATGATTTCCTCTGATTTCCAAGCCACGCGAGTGACTTGAGGTTTGATCCTGTGATCTTTGAAAGCAACATGGGGAATAATTTTCCGCGAATCTCTTGAACCAGTCATTTTAGTTATACTTCCTCGTTTGTCCAGGATGCGCACTTTCTTCCGATGACTGTCATCGAGTTTGGTGTCACTGTATCGGAGGGACCACACCCTAAAGGTCCGTGCTTTATTGCGTAACGTTTTGTATATAGCTGTGTATACAAAGATGATGAATATGAGAGACACACAGTACATTCCAAGGGTGAGAAAACTGTATTTATAAATGATATTTGCATGGGCAGCATCTATGCTGCACATAGAGACGGAGCCATAACGCCTTATACCAGCCGAGAACAGTGCAACTGAACCAACAGCTGCCGCCAAAAGCAAACACACAACAACCGTGATACGGGCACGGCTGGGCGTCACAAACCTCTTCAGTGGTCTACAAACAGCGAAGTAACGGTCAACGGTGATACATATAGTTAGGAACATAGACAGAAATGTCCCGATGAGGGAACAATAATGGGTAAGCTTGCAGAGGTCTGCATTGGTATAATTCTCCTGGTTATAAGACGAATATATCTTCAGAGGCATCAGAAGACACACATAAAGGTCTGCCACACCTAGCGCCAGGATGTACACGTCTGTACTGGATTTGGGTCGTTTACGAGCGTACACGAGGACGATGAGGATGTTGCCTGGGATGCCAACTGTCATGATCAAAGCTCGGAAGGCGATGCCTAATGCCAGAAAGATTTCCATGATAACGTTCGTCCAATGTGCAGTATACCGAGCTCACAGAATGAAGGTCGTCTGTGCCGGATAGAATTCCTATATAAGTAAATTGTGGGGAAAATTGATAAGATTTTCATATCTTGAATCTTGAACATAAGGTTACAATATTTTTGTCAATAATAATAAAAGCATTGTTTTAGTTTTCTGGAAATTTACAGGCCTGGAAGTTATTTTAATCTTTAAATAAAATTTACCGATTTTTCTCTGTTTTAGTGTTCCTCCTTTTCTTTCTTTTTCACCAACGTCTACTACTGATGCAGAATCAGTTCCAGGGTATATTTTTGTATATTTATGCGTTATTATTTAAATAATTCACTTGAATACTCTAGTATCATCCTCATCAAGAGATCTTTATCTTTACTGTGTTATAAAAGGGGATATAATTCCTAAGTTATACAAATAATTTAAAGAATAATCTTAGAATTCTATTTATAACTATAAAAGACAACTCGAAGAGGGTTAGCATAATTTCAGGTGCTAGGCATTGAAACCGCAGAAAGGAAATCCAAACGAATTTAAATTTAAATGAGGTAGATGCCCTGTAGATAAACCCATGTACGGTAAGTTGTTATCTTTTCAAAGGGTAAATTGGCCAGAAATGAATAAAAGGAAATTCATTTCTACTTTTGGAAATCATAATTTCATTTTCATACGGGCTGTAAAATGTACTTATGGATAATGTGCATAGGAAAAAACTCTGAAGAACATTTCCAAAAACATTACACAATAGATTTACGAGCGTCATCGTGCCTAGCGTTTTTCTTTCACGGAGTATAGAACAGAACAGAAACATTAACGAGATGTCGCTTCACTTTGTAATACCGCTTTGCACTCGAAAGTACTCACAATAAAAATTGAATGGAAAGCACGTACCATTTCAAGATGGGAGCACAATAAACATGATTAGTTAGGTACACAAACGGCTTTAACAGGGAAATAGTGTTAACTTTTTTTTCATGCGGATACCTCAGTAAAATTTGATGCTGAAAACGATAGCACCGACTGATTTTTTTATTTAAAATGTGTCCAAGGTGCCAACATTTCATGTTTTATGCGCCCACCATTTCAGAACAACTTCTTTGGCTAGAAATTTTCATTTGATGTGGAAAACTTGCTATGAATATTTCAATGAAGTATTGTATAGCTTAGCGTTTTTCAACCGGGGTACCGTGAGGGAACTGAAATCAAAAAACTTTTTTTAGATCTATTTTGAAATTAATGTCAATTTCGTGGAAACAAAATATCAGAAACCGCTATGTATTTTGTTGAAGAAATACAATTTTAAAGACAATTAAATGTCTTGTTTTCCTCGTTCGCTTCGCTCGCTCGCAACATTTAGAAACAATATGATTTCAGGCAGTGAAGTGCTTGAATACCCCATCATTAGTCAGCGAGCTGCCCGAAAATCGTCCCATTCGGGCAGTAAGGTGCTCGAATATTTTTTCTTCAATATCAAAATTTCATTTTTACCACGTTTGTTCCCTTTGCTCGCTCAGAGCATTTAGAAACAGGATGATTTTTTTTAAAGGTATAAATATTTAATTTCTTTATATTGTGTGACTATATTTATACGTACCTAGTTTGTGTTTCACGTTCTATTGATATGTGGACAAGTTTAGAAATAAATTAAAATCAAACAACAACAATTTATGACTTTAGTATTCATGTATTGAACAGCGAGGTGCCCGCATGCATAATATTATTTCTTATATATCTAGTACGTTTTGTTTACAAAATAATTTTTTTACCATACTAAAAAAAATATATAAAAAAAGAGTGATGGAAAATAAATCTTCTGTAATGAATTTGGAATAAGGGAGACGCGAAACTGTTTTATTTCTTGAAAGGGTGCCATGAATACAAAGAAGTTAAAAATGCTGACTTAGGCACTTAAAGCTCAATCATGCCCTTTCTTTATACCTATAGAAGAAGTAAAATTTGCATCATATGAGTTTAATTTCCCCGAGTTCACCATATCATCGGTTTAAAGAGGAAAACAAAAGAAAAAAGTCTTGCGATTAGCTGAAACTATCTTGCTTTCTCGAGCACAATGTCTTTGAGGAAACTGTACAGAAGTCAATTAAATTAACATAATTATAAACAGGTTAAAAATTAACATAATTATTTTAAGGTTTCATCGGGGAGCTGTAGTAAATTTACCGTTTTATTCAATATCTGGCCTGGGACTCGAAAACCACAACCACGCATCCACAATCCGTTGATTTTTTTTAAAACCTCGACTACATTCTATCGCATCATTAATGAACTGTATTATGTCTTGAAATATACGAAATAAACAACATTTACAAATTGGGATGCAACAATGTAAGATGTCACAATCTCCATATTCAATCTTGCAGTCCGTTAATGCTGTCACTAAGTTGTTAAGTAAATCTAAAAGTTGTTGACAATTTGCAATATATACTTACGGGGAATTTCTCTTCCTTCGCTGAAACTCGTTTGATTATGCTGATTAAAAAGGATTGTATCTTCTTTCTTTCCTTGCCTCCTTTCGAGTGGTTTGTGATGGTTCGTGCGGTACGGCGATCTGCTCGCAGAATGATGCATGGATGATATTCAACAGATGCTGGGATATTTCATTTTGTGACTTGCATATCCGGTCCCCTGATTGGCTGTTTAAAAGCTCATGTGCGCTGCTCCAGATAACTTTAGAGGTGATAATGAGAGAAGATGTGAGAGGAGAGTGAGAAAGAGAGAGAGAGAGAGAGAGAGAGAGAGAGGAAGGGAGAGTGTGTGAGAAAAGAGATGAACGGGTAAAAGATAGCGGGAGAGTGAACAGAGAGGGGAGAGGGGAAGAGAATGAAAAAGGATGTATGATGAAGAGAAAGGGGGAGGGGCAAGAGAATGTCACCATGCACATCTAAAATTACACACTATCAAAATATCCGGCACTGGTTTCATGGGTACATTTTGCTGCAAGCAGAACCAAAGACGTCGATTTGGGGGAGGGGTATACACCCCCCCCCCTTTTCTAATCAGCTGATCGTGTATTTTTTTTTAATTAATTAATGCTCCTTGAACACCGGGGTGCCGCAAGAAAATGTTAGTTACATAACAACATTTTTTGAGAAAACGTTGATTTTGTGAAAAACAAATATCAGAAACGGTTGGAGTATGTATTTTCAAGAGAAAAAAAGAAATTTAAAGATAATAGTGTCTTCGTTCCTCGCTCGCTGAAGATATTTTGATAGCAAAGCGCCCGAATATATATAATATCTTTTATTTCGAAATTAAATTGTTACCACACTCATTACAAAAAGAAACATAATTAATAACGGCAACCAGAGGCCCGAATATCCTCATATCCTCATATACGTGTATCAAGGTCATGACCGAATATATTACTTTGTATTTAATGTACATTCGGCGGCAAGGTGCCGGCATACAGAGTACTTTAAATCGTTTCTAGTATGTTGGCTTTTCCCATTTTGAAAAATGTCTTCTCCCTTTTAATCCTTGCTTGTTCGCTAAATTTAGAAGCAAATGTACCCATATTATGTGTGTACATAGCACTTGACGAGTGCCAGAGTGATGCAAAATAAATAGTCTGCATGTGAAGCATTTGGGATTGGGAGAAATAACGCTGCTCCAGAGAAATGTATTTTCATGCATTTTGAGACGCGCCGGACAATTACCTAAAACGTACATTCTTCGCGGAAAACAGGAACCGCACTGGTAATGCATAAAAAATAATTAAGAGAAATGTGTGTAGAAATAAGGAAGATAACGTGCTAGTATGGGGGGGGGGGAGGGGGAGGGGCGGTTGTGTGTTTGAGTGTTAGTATGAGAGTGTATGGTGTGTGTGAGGGGGGGGGGTAGAGCGGATTGTCTCATTCCTCGACTTTGCTCCTCCAACCTGTTGGTGGTCTGGAGTTTCCATTGTACCTGTGGATGGCTTATTTTTACTCCTTTTTCTTCATTTTGGGCCCAACGAAATTTTCAGTTTCTGATGCAATGCTATCTCGAGGTTCTTGCTTGTGTACTTGTAATTGTTATAATTCTAATTATTTCTATTACGTGTACTCTGCCTTTTTTATTTTTTTATTTTAATTTGTTTTTTAATTTTTTTCCCAGATCATCTCAATCGTTTGTAAATATCTTAATTTGTCATTAATTTCTTTTGTAACACAGCATTTGTATTTTTTTGGAAAGTTTGAATATGTTATGATTTGATTTCTTAACAAAAACATAAATAAAAAAAAAAGATAACGTGCTAGTAATTGAACCAATGTGGGTTCATGCATGTGATTTTATGCCAAAATTTTGAACATTTTGAAAATTCTGCCACGAATTCAAGCCTTAACCCGCATTGACCCTCATCCGCGAACCAAACTCGTGCAAGTGTCAGTGTGCCTTCAGGGTCCCTTAACTCTACCCCCCCCCCCCCCACTCAGTGTTATTTAGGGTACGCATATGCATGTTCCCTCCTTTTGAAGACACCCCCTAAACAAGTAAAGTCCGGTGTGTAAAGTCAATACGGGCCGGATTTTTGTGTACTACGAGCCGGACTTTGGTGCGTGAAAAGTACCCCTTTACCGGACATTTTGGTAACACGCATGGTATCCCTCCGTTCACGGAGTGGGGGTCGGGCTCTAAAGTCTAAACGCACCGAGAAACTCTGTTGCATCGATATCAATGCATAAATATTCATATCATCAACCATAGGGACTTTTAGATTTGCACGTCGACATAGTCGACTGCTACGTGTAACGTCCTACGTCACACGTAGCAGTCCACTATTACTATCCAGTTCAGCCTGAGTTAGGTAGTCTATGTTATTAAGCCTCTCATCAATAACATTATAATTTCATGCTTAGAATTGATCTTTAGAGTATTTTTCCACTGAGTTCTCAGAGATTTCATCAGAGCAAATACTTGGTTCCTCGCAATGTTCCTTAACACCAGTGTCTGGAAGAGAAGCATTAAAGGTAAATATGTCCCATTTG